GAATTCACTTGAAATCTTAGTCCTTGTATAAAGTTTTAAAATTCTCTGAGGTCCTTGTTTAAAGTTTAAAACAGTCCCACAACCGTTTAAACAACTGAGGCATTGGACCAAATGATCTTCGCTGCTGGCAAAAACAAGAACAACTCTTAGTCTGCGCTAAGGGATCAGGGAAGTAAAATCCACCTCCTGATGGGGTTGAGCAACTGTCCACAAAATAAGCAACCAGTCAGCCATTAAGTAATCAAATACCCTTCAGCGAGGAAAAAATTCATCTGGTTTGATAAATTCCATGTCTGTCCTGAAAATATCCTGAGTCAGTAACAATAAAACATTTATGCTTTTTCTCTTTGAAGATACTATTAAATGTTTTAGCTCAAGTTTTGCTCTTTCAAATCTGAAATTATAGCTAATTCTTAATCATCCTGGGATATTTTTCAATTTTGCTTCTCTTCCTTTCCTCCTAGTCTTTAAGGCTTGGATAAGAAATACATTTAGATTAGTGATATCTGTTACTTTTTGACAGCTCCGTGGAGGAGGGCAGGTGTTGAGCACAACTGGAACTAAAGACAAAATGACTTCTGATGACTGAGTGAGGTTAAAGAAGAAAAGCAGGCTCAATTATAGGAATTTACACAATGGAATTTATGGTTTCTTTCTTTTAAATCCATGAAGGCTTAAAAGAAACTGATATTGGGGTGGAAAAAGCAGAGGAATGGGAACTCAAAGTCAGAAGATCTTGGTTCCGGCTCTCGTTTTGTCGGCTTTATGGTGTGACCTTAGGCCAGTCATCTCCCTTCTGGGTCAGGGGTTCCTCGCTTCAATTTTAAAGTCTGAGATTTAACACGAAACTGCCTCAGACAAATACCTTTAATGCACATCGATTTCTGATAACTATCACATACTTCCAAAAAAGGCTTTCCAATTTTTCTTTTGAGAAAAAGCACTTCCTTACAAGTTTGCTTTCAGTATTAATTTGCTTACTTTGTTTTTATATTTGGTACATCATTCAATTCATGTGAGTTACTAAATTATTAGAGGTTGAAATCTATAAGATTTTATTGTACTGGACGAGTTAAAATATGGTTTTTGGAAGAACAACCAAGTTTCAGCTCAGTCCACTCTCCATTACTTCAGTATTATGAGGCTCATACTTCATTCCCTGACTTGTCACTTTCGTGGTGTCCTGCAATGTTCTGCTCGGGCACAACTCTCATAACGGCATTTAACAAAATGGTATCACTTCACACGGTATTACATGCTAATGAATGAGAGGGAAATTAATGAATCAATTTAGGTAAGAAGACAGCAGTAATAATTTAAGCCATTCTCACTCTCACCATGGAGAGAGGATATGAAAACCTCATAATAAGTGAAGTACCAGACAGAAGGGAAATCTCATAACTACTTTCAAGTTGTTCTCAGTCTCGGGCTCAGGAGAAAAAATGTGAAATAGAAACCTACTTACCTTTTCCTGGGCAAACCATTTTTCCAGTACGAGAAGCCAGACCCAGGCTAATCTTTGAGGGTTGATGTCCTGTCCACATCTGAAAAATGTAAAAAGAAAAGAATTTCTAGACAAAGAATTTCCACTGGCTTTTTCTCTTTTGTTGTCCAAGATTCAGATTTCGTTGCTTAGTCTATTTTAAACCCCAAAAGGCAAGACAATCAATCAAACGAGAACCAGAATACAGCTAGCAGCTTTCATAAAAAAGATCATAATCCTAACTCTAGCTCCCTATCTATTCTTTAGTATTTTTAAACACTTAATGTTACATAGAAAACCATAAAAGTAAAGCCATCAAAAGTGTATTCTTGAAAACAGAAACTGAATCAAGCAGTCTTAAAGAAAAAAAGGAACTTGACAAAAATTTATTTTTAACTCTATATGAAAAAAAGGGTTATAGGAATTTGTAAGTTTTTCTTTGATGTTATTAATTTAAATTAGATAGTAACGGGCTAGAATCCAAGTTTAAGGGGACAAATAAAGGAAGAAAGAGTCACCTAAGTCTCCACTACATTCAGGGGGCAGGAGTAGGTTTACACTTGCGAGGACACAAAAGAGCTTATTCTTGTATTATTAATTAATTATTTTATTACTTTCCGCATGAACAATTGTAAACCTACTTTTGCCCCACCCTGTATATACTAATACAGTCCTTAACAATATAATATAAAGTAAGGAAAAGTGAGGGGTAGGATGTACAGTACATTTAGTTCCTACACCACTAGTTATCAGCACTGCTGGAAGAATTTCATTAAAAATTTAGGTAGAGAACAGTGGTTGTCAAGGGTCAAGGTGGGGTCAAAATACAAAGAGTGAGGGAATTCTTTTGTGGTGATGAAACAGTGTGTATCCATCTTGATTACAGTGGTAGTTACATGAATCTACACAGGAGTTAAATTGCACAGAACTATGCATAAAAATGAATGCACATTAAAAAATGCATTCTAGCTAACAGTAATTATCAACATTAATTTCTTGGTTTTGCTATTGTACTATACCTATTATAAGATGTCACAATTGGGGGAAACTATCAAGCAGGTAGTTTTTGTATTATTGTTGCATGTCTTGTGAGTCTTACAATTATTTCAAAATAAAAAGCTTTAAGGGAATTTACTTCCATTTCTTTGAAGTGAACTCACTTTAATTTCACAGGCAAGATGAGAGCAGGGTTTGCTTTTTTGGAGGCAAAGAAAATGCTTTTCAATGCAGCCCCACCTACTTTAATGAAAATAGACAAGAAATGGTGGTTTCAGGCACAATTTGCTGGCCAGGCTTAAACACAGTTTCGAATGCTAATTTAAAGCCAATACTGATTAAGGACCAGGCATGTATTACAGAGGTAAAATTTTAGAGCATGTAAAATACGCTCTTCCTCTGCTAATTCTTCAGAGGGTAGTTGAGTGAGGCACAGTGACCAGAGCCCAAAGATTGAACCTTGTGTCTCCCCCACAGTGACTGCCTGGCAGTAAGAGACATCTCTTACCTCAGTTGATTTGGACACACTACCAGCGCCTGGAGTATATCCTCCACCTTCTTTGGGATGTCCCCTTGTGCCTCATGTAGCTGAGGTACACATGCCTGTGCCAGCTCCCACTCTCCTCTTCGAAGGCACTCACAGAAAAATCCAAAAAGCTCCTTCTGGGAAGCAGTTTCCTCTTTTCCAAATGGATGATGCATTTTCCCAGCACAGAGTGCAGGGAGATAGAAAAAGATGAGTTACGCAGAACACATTGCCAATTTTCTCATTCCTGGAGCATCTCCTATAAAAAATAAACACCAGAGTAAGAAGAAATAAAAGGAGCCGTGTTTAGATAAATAGTAACTACTAGCCTGACTGGGAAAGGGGGAACTTACTTTGCTAGTTATCATTGTAAGATTGATTTGACATGCTACTGTCTTCTTTTGAGAAGTTCTACCTTTCCCCAAGGGGTGGATCTCATCTCTACAAGCATCCAATATTCGTTTAGCATTAACGGTCATATTAGCTCAGGACACAGAACCATAACTCCACTTTCGTATTCCCTCCTAAACTTTAAACGCAGTCCCGCTCCAAATCCCCAGGTGGTCGCCTCCTTAAGGACCAGAAATTCAGCAGGAACCTCCCTAGTTTGAGCCTTCCCTTAAGGCAGAGAGCTGAGGATCTGTAGAGGAATCTGTCTCAGAACTGGAGGGCAGTGAGAGTTGGGGCACAAGGGTGTTCCCTACAGGGGTCTTGAAGAGCCTTCTCTGGGGTGCCTTACACTCACCTGGTCCCGGTGCCCAGAGAAATAATGCTTCGAGCGCAGCCATGTTTGAGACGAGTCAGGTGACAGATCCATTCCCTGGGTTGCGGTGGCGGGGGGTGAGGGGTGGGGGGGCGGGAGGAGTTGACGGTGACAACGGTAATTCCTATTGGTCAATGGAGGAAAGATGCAAATAAGGTGCCATATTTGTTTGGGTCACGTGAGGCCACCTCAAGGGACCGGAGGAAGCTAGTTCGCTCCAAGATTGTAAATCAGCTACCTTCAAAGGAACATCCTTTTCAGTTTTGACTGCTCCTCTACTTGACACCTTTCGTTCTGCGTTCCGCGGAGCAGGTGGCAGTAATAGCTATGTTCCTTGATTTTGTTTTTCCGCTTTCTTTTTTCTTTAGAGTTGGAAGTCAGCGTTTACTGAGTTCCAGCCAGTGTTAGTGCTTTGCCAGGCCTTGGGCAGGATACCCAGAGAGAGATCTGAATCCACTTCTATAGCTGAATCCACTTTCAAGCTGTTTAAAAGAGCTTGAGCTCTTTTTAAATCTCAGAACCCTGCGTTCTGAATTCGCATTTTCTTCTATTTAACTCGATTCATTAATTTGCTCATTTATCCGACAATTGTTAATTGAGTGGTGTGCTAGCCTTTAGAACTTGAGTAAGTTGTGGTCCCTGTCCTCAAGGAGCTCAGAAGTCTAGTGAGGGGTGCCAATCAATACTTAGGATAAAGTACGCTAAATTATAAGATACAGGTATGCACAGGAGAGATAAGAGCAAAGAATGAGCACAACTTTTTTGCATACATAATAATCTGAAACGGAGAAAGTAAAGTTTGAGTAGTTTTATTCAGCATTTCCCAAGACATTTTGCCATCAAAGGGTGACGAAGAAAACAAGCCAAAACAACCCAAAACAACCCAAAAGCTTCTTCCAAAACCACTCCTACCATAGGTGAATTCTCATATTTCCAGAAAACTAAAATGGTCTCTCTGATCCATTAAACAATTTTTAAATGTAGTGACAAAATAAAGTTAAAGGAAAACTTCAAGCAAGTTTTCTTTTGGCTTCATAGACTCCTTATTGACGTTCCTCTAACCCATTTTGATAATCACTAGATGGAGAAACTGGGATTTATAGCTTTATTATAAAGGGCGAACTACAAATCCCAGCAAGCCGCGGAGCCGGCCTGGCTTTTCCGGCTTCTGATTGGATATTTCACCGGGAGGCGACCCAACCAGCGTTTTGATTGTTGCTTTGCAGCGCTTTCCGCGGGGAACTTAGTGATGGGTGGAGGAAACTTTGAAAATTGGATGCTGCAGACTCGGTACTGGAAAGTTTCATCTTGGGGGTAGATGTGGGGAAGTGGGGTGCGTGCATTATTTTCTGCTCTCTCTCTCCGGGCCCGTGGTATTGATAGTGGGGCAGCTGAGAGTCTTTCTTGGGTTCAGGGCACGCCCCCTTAAGTCCGTGGGGGTCTTAATCCGAGCCCTGCCACGGATCTGTGGGCTTCCTGTCTTTGAGGGGTTGCAAGGAAGCTGCTCCTTGTTGAAAATGCTCTTTTTAGGGGGTTTCGAGGTAATGTTTCGCCTCTTGATACTCCTCTCCTCCTCTTTCACTTCCGGGCAGTTTGGTATCTAGGCAGGGAAACCCATGATTGGGGGAAGTTTAGGGTCTGCCCGCTTTGAGGTTTTGTTGCAGGAAAGGTGGATAATAGCGTGAAATTAGGAGTCAGATCCCTGGATTCGAATGCGGATTCCATCATATGCTAGCTATTAGACTGAGAAAGTTTTCGACTCAGTGCCTCCGTATCTTTAATCTGTAAAAGGAGTAAAACATCCTAAGGGCTTGGAACAATGTATGGGACCTAATAAGGGCTCAATGGATATTAGCTATTATTGTTACTTCACAATTTTCATTGAATATCTAAAATAGGATTTTCTTTCTTTTCATGATGAGGCGGAGAGGATTCATTCTCCAGGGTTGAGTATCATCCCTCACTCCCCATTCACATGAGCATGTGTACACACACACAGAGCAGGAACTTACAGTCTGGTGGAAGAATCAAACATTAAAGCCATAATAATAGTTAATCATTGGGCAGATATGTACAAAGTGATGAGAACGTTGTAGAAGAAGAGACTGAGTTTGGATAAAGCTTTGTGAAGGAAAGTCAGGGAGGCAGGATGGCGCTTGCCTGACCTACCAATATACTGTTGGGGCTGGAGAGCAGTAGAGTGGGCAGCTAATGATGTTTTGCCCAGTGAATTGATAATGATAATGATTTTTAACCTTGAGCATTATGTGAAACCCTTTAACCTTCATTACATTCCTGTGGAGTGGGTATTTGAATTACTGTTGTTTTACAGATGAAGAAACTGTAGGATAGTGGGAGGTACAGTAACTTGGCTAAAAAAGTCAGAATCTGGAACTTGTAGTCTGATGTAGGAATGAGAGGGAAATGAGGAACCAGTTTATGAAGGGTCTTAATCCTAGGAAGTGTGGAATATATCCTGTAGTCCAGTGGTTCCACGGGCAGTTTTAAAGGATGAAGGTGACAAGATGGGAGCAACTTTTTAAGAAGCTCAGTCTGGCAGGCTTATGGCACTGGCCTGATGTTTGCAGGCCAGTGTTGTGCTGCTTCCTGTCTATAGCGCCTTTAAATACTGACAGTACTTATTGCATGATGAGTTATTTTTGTATATATTGCTTCTCTTCTTTTGAGGATATGTTTATTGATTTTTTAGAGAAAGGAAGAGAGAGGAGAGAGAGATATCAATGTGAGAGAGAAACACTGATGAGTTGTTCTCGGTGCACTCTCTGACCAGGGATTGAACCTGCATCCTAGGTATGTGCCCTGACCAGGAATCGAAACCGTCACTTTTTGGGTGTACAGGAGGATGCTCCAACCATCTGAGCCACTGGCCAGGGCTTTATACACCACTTTTTATCTTTTACTGTGAGTTGCCAAAGGGGAAGAAATGTACTTAAATGATTCTTTAAAAATACTAAATTTATTGAAAGTGAGAAACATCGATTTATTGTTCCATGTATTTATGTGTTCATTGGTTGTGTCTTGTACATGCCCTGATCAGGGATTGAACCTACAACCTTGGCTTATCAGGACAATGCCTTAACCAACAGACCTACCAGGCCAGTGTTTTAAATGATTCTTGTACCCCAGAACTTAGCACTTGTACGCCAGATCTTAGCACAGTACGTGCTTAAGAAGCCCCCGCAGAAGGAGTAAATGAATAGATTTTTTTTTTTGGTGAGGCAGGGAGTGACCACATATCTACAAAAGTCCAGGCAAATGCTGGGAGTGGCCCTAATAAAGGCAGAGATAGCAGAGTTGGTCTTTATTAAAGTCCAGGCAGTTTGGGGTTGATAGGTCTCCTTTTTCATTGCATTTACCAGTCTAAATGGTGTCATTCCCTGGAACTACCTGATCTGTAAAGACACTAGGCAATGACATAGGACATGCCGCTCAGTAAACTTCCTACTGGGGAAACAAATCAATACTGAGTCATTCCCATTAAGAGAAATGAGAGGGATGTATTCCGTGTTTGTGGGAGGGGTGTGTGTGTGTGTGTGTGTGTGTGTAAGAGAGAGATAGAGGTTTGATCTGATGCACAGAGATACTCAGCCTGATTCAGAGAATTTAGATGTTAAATAGAAATTTGGATCATGATATTAGAAATAAGTATCAACATTCTCAGTATATATTTTTTCAAATTTTTACTTTTCTGATTATATTGCTTTATCCCCTAGAACAAGGAAGAGTTCCTGTTTCTACCTTATCCAGGGGATATTTTGCTGTCTCAATGAGATACAAAACCTATCCTTTGCGGACATTAATAAGGGAATCATGGTGATTCTATTCTAGCTCCCTGTAGGCAATTATTTTAGAAACCTTATTTAGCCCTAGTGAGGTTCAACAAGAGTGAAATTTAATAGTATTTGGAAATATGATCAGCTAGTATATTATTTAGGAATGTGGACAGCTAGTATAATAAACAAAATTCAGCTTGTAAATAACACCTGGAGTAATAAAATAACATTTGATTAGAAGATTTTCTGTGACTCAGGAAAAGGAGTTAAATATGATTATGGACTGGTAGTGGAGTGTAATGGTTAGGAGGATGGACCTCAAGAGTGAGAACTCCTGGGTTTGAAATCTGGAACCACCATTCTACTATTTCTTGATAATAGAATAGCTAAGCTTTTCAGGCTTTTGTTTTCTCATACGCAAAAAATTGGGTCAGTACCCTTCCTTATAGGGTTGTAGAGAAGATTAATTGTGATAACTTATGTGTAGCAACAGAGCCTGGTACAGTAGATGCTCAATAAATTTGCTGTTGTTTCAGTACAATGAAAGTAAAGACTTTCTAGGAGTCCTATTTCAAAATATATCTTGAAGGTTATTTATAATCCAAATTTATAAATGGACTGAAAAGCTCAAGATGCTTTACAAATGTCAAGTGGTATTATTATATTCATGAAATAAGTATCAAAGGATGGTGTCAAATGGATATTCTCATCATACCTTGTTTCTTTGTGCGTGTTTGACAAACAGTTGTCTTCCCTATTTAAAATATTTAGAAAGATTCTATAGCCTTCCTTTATTTTGTCAGTAATATTTAAATACTATGCATTTCATTATGCATGTGAAAAATTTCAGGATTTTTAAAAAAGATATTATTTATTTATCTTTAGAGGGGAAGGGAAGGAGAGAGGGAGAGAAACATCAATGTACGGCTGCCTCTCGTGTGTCCCCTGCTGGGGACTGGCCTGCAGCCCAGGCATGTATGTACCCTGACTGGGAAACGAACCTCGATCTTTTGGTTCGCAGGCCCGCACTCAATCCACTGAGCTACACCAGCCATACCTGAAGATTTTTTTATTTTTGAAGGTATTTTGGATAGTAGCCATCTATTATTGCTTATGCTGTTTTCAATGGTTTTTCAAGGTGCTTCTTTTTTTCCAATCTGGAGTCATGAGCAGCAGGAAACTAAGACGAGTGGGTTTATCACAGGAACTATGTGACCGTCTGAACAGACATCAGATTGTTACCTGTCGGGTAAGTTCTATTTAATTTTTTTAAATGAGAAACTAAGTACAAATTCATTTTAAGTACATGTATAACTTAATAACTCTTAAATAAACCTGAAATATGAAAACTTAGGTTCATAGAAAAAAGGGTAAATAATAGTGCTTCTCCATAGACTAATTTTAAAATATTTATTTATTTTTAGAGAGAGGGGAAAGGAGGGGGGAGAAAGAAAGGGAGAGAAACATCTATGTATGAGAGAAACATTGATTGGTTGCCTTCTGCACACCCTAAACTGGGGATCCAGCCCACCACCCAGGAGTGTGCCCTCCTGGGAATTGAACCAGTGACCTTTTGGTCTGTAGGTCGGTGCTTAGTCTGTTGAGCCACACCAGCCAGGACTCCATAGATAAATTTTAAATGATAAGTCACTTGGGTTAAACTTCCAAATATGATTTAATTTGCCCAAGTTCAGTGTTTTTGCATTTTGTGGGGACGGATGCTCATGGCATAAGGTGAAGTACACCTGTGCCATCTGTTTGGGATTCTCGAGAAGTTGTGTGTACGTAAGAGAAATTTTGTAATTATATGAGAACTATGACTTGAATGAGGAGATGGTATTCAATGGATAATTCCTCTGGAAAGCAAGAGAAATTAATAGTTGGGATTATTTTCCTATTGATGGAGTGAGAGAAATGTGTAGAGAGATGTTGCATTTTTAAGCACAATAGGGAAGAAAATTTCTCAGATTAAATGAGATTTAAGGTTTTAGATTAGGATTTAATCCTTAGACAAACTTTCAGAACATGCTGCAATTTTTAAAAAATCACCTTGTGTGTTAAAGGTATCTTTGGTTTCTTGGTTAATATATTTAATAATGTCATGTGCATATTCTGAAACATTCTTAAAAGTATGAAATTCAACATTTCATTCCATAGAAAGTTTTATTCTCTGTCAGTTATCCAGTGCTGCCCCTGAACATCATGTAATTAAGGGGGAAGCACATTTCCACCGGACACTTCCTGGGCCTGATTTGGGTCCAGAGCGTGTCAGGTCCAGGTGTAGTGCTCAGAGACACGTGGGCTGGATGCTGCTGTTCTGTGATGTTGCTTGTGTGCACTCTGGTACATGCCAGCTCAGTTGGGTAATTATAAGATAAAGCTATCATCATCTTTTAGTTTAAGGCATACTTTGAGGGGAAAGGCCCATAAGAAACACATAACTCTTTGATCTGCAATAAATTTCACTTTTGTCTATACGTGAACAATATCAGTTGAAATTTTCCTTTTAATCTCAATATCTTTGTTACACATATATTTAAATATTCTCCTTATGATTCTTTAGGACTTTTTATGTCTTTCCCCACTGGAGCTTATGAAGATCACTGGCCTCAGTTATCGAGGCGTCCATGAACTTCTGCGTGTGGTCAGCAGGGCCTGTGCCCCACAGATGCAAACGGTATGTGTATAATTGATATCTGCCATTCTTTACGATCAATATGTATGGTGTATTTCTAGTTAGGTAACAAGAGAGCATGGGCAGGAATTCACTTTAGTCTTCACTTACATCGCCACTTGAGCTGCAGTCCAATAACTCGCCTTTCTCTTTTGTTTTATATTCACTCATGTAGCATTCTTTAGATTTGAGTCCTGCCTTAACATTGGCTTAGCCTTAGTTCATTGTTTCAGGGAAGACTTTTTTGTCTGTTTGTTTATTCAGTCATTTATTCTTGCAACCAATATTTATTGAGTGCCACCCATGAGCCAGGTACTTTGGCAGGTACTGTAGTGAACAAGATTGGTAACATTCCTGCCCTCCTGTAGCTTATACTAATGGGAGAAGTGAGGCATTAAACAAATATTTATGTAAATATTTAGTTAATTGCATTAGTGGCAAGTCCTCTTAGGGAAAAGTTCAAGGAGTTTTGAAACTTAATAACAGGGGGCATTACTCACTTTAGGGAAGGACTCCCCTAAGGAAGCGACACTTAGGCTAAAACCTGAAGGATGAATAGGGAGAGATAAGCAAAGGAGCTGGGGAGGGAGGTGAGCATGGAGGGGGGCTCACAGGCGGTGGGGGGCTGGCAAATGTGAAGGCTCTGTGAAGAGAGGCACAATGGCGTTTGCATGGTCATAAAGTCAGGCTGGTGTGAGTGGAACGTTGCAGTGAGGAAGGAGATGGAAGTCAGAAAAGTAAGCAGGAGTCAGATTTTTAGGGCCTGCAGAAAATGTTAGAGTTTGGACTTTATTTTTGGGGTAATGAGAAGCCATGAAAGGCTGTAATCGAACATGTGTTTTTAGAAACTCAGTCTTGAACATAGACATGTAGTTCAAAAGGAACAAGGAAATATTTTTGAAGGATAGTTGACATGGACATTGGCTTTCAGCGCCTCAGAACAGCCTGGCCACCCTCTCAATGGGAGAGCGTGCTGACCCTTGCCTAGACAGGCTTTTATTGGGTTTAATTTGCACAGGAATACAGGTACAGCTCATTAACCATTGTCAGGCAGTAAGGATCAAGCAGTAGATAGCATACAAAGAACTTCAAGGGCTTCTTATGAGTCAGGGTCTATCAGCTAAAAAGCTACAAAACTTTGAGAAAACAAACTCATTTTCTGCTAGGGCCTTTATCATTTAACTGAGAGCATTCTTAGCAAAGCGGGCTTCACAGAATTTTACAAATCCTTTCTCAGGCCCGATCACCTGGGGAGCCCGCCATTCCCAGCACAGGGCTGCACTGCCCTCTGTCATTGTTTCAGGCTTAAGTCAGGCAGAGGAGGCAGATACCCAAGGAATTTTTGGAGACTTCTCACAGACTTAGGGGAGTCAGACTTTGTCAAAGCCGAGGGGCGAGGGTCCATCACCCCCTTTCTGCTGAAGCCCCCCGAGTCCTTCCTTGAGGGCCTCCTGAGTGACCATGTCTGGCTTAGGTTGCCCCCCCTCTGAGAGGTCTTACCTGTCACTGACTAACTGACCAAGCACCGGGGGCCAGAGATGGATGAAGCAGAAGCAACGGTCCTGCCAGGGAGATAAGCTTTGTCCCTTTAGTGGCTTATGGTCTGAAGGTGGCTCCCTCAGCCTTAGCCATGGGATTTTACAGCTCCTGAAACAAGGCAGGGCAGTTCCCAACAGATAGTTAGATAGCTATTAATATATTCCAGACAGAAAGTGATTGTGACATGGATTATTAGTGTGGTATTAATGCAGGTATAATGTCAATTAATATGAGAGACATTTAGGAGGTAGAATAAATAGGATTTGGTGATTGTGGGTGGTAGCAAATACAGGAAAATGTCAGAGATGAGTCCTTGATTTTTGCTTTGAGAAATTGGGTGGTACCATTTCCTGTGATAAGGGATACTGGAGGAGGATCAGGTTCCAGGAAGGGAACGTGGTATCGAGTCAGTACTTGTTGAAGTTAAGGTGCTTGTGAAACATTGAGTGGGAATGTGATATAGACAGTTGAATACAGGGTGGGGAAAAAGTACATTCACAGTTGTTTGTATGTAAAGTAATGTAATAATTAATAAATAACACAAGAATAAACTGTGTTTTGTGTATTCACAACTGTAGACGTATCTTTGCCCCACCCTAGTGGGTCTGTATGGACATGGAGCTTGGAGGATAGGTCTGCACGAGAAGTACACATTTGGGAATTGTCAGTGTGAGTGTGGTAGTCGAAGCCATGGGAGTGATGAGCAGTTGCTTAGAAAATGAGAGGATAAGTATACCTAAGACCAAGTTCTGAGTGCAGCCAACATTTAAAGATGAGCCTAGACAATGATGAACATGAGAGGAAGCAACCATCAAAGTAGAAGCAAACCTGGTGGGATATCATATCACAATATTACTCTTTGTCTCATTTGTGCACATATGGGGTGGGGGGCCCCCAAAAAGCCCAGCATTATCTTCTGGGTGGGCCCTATGTAGTGCGGGCTTCTCCTGCTAGGTGAGTGTTCTAGGAACCCACCTGTATCAGTGGACCAGCAGGAGTTGTTATGAGAGACTGTGTTCGGCTTCAGTGAATTTTTTAAAAGACTTTTTCAGCCCCTTTGCTCATTTTATGATGGGTGATTTATGAGCACACCTGCCCACACTGTGCTGAGTGTTCAGCAGTTTTTGACCAAAAACATGGCACGACCCCTGTGCCCCACCCTCTCTATTCACCTGATCTCACCCTGAGCGAAAGGCATCAAAATCAGAAAGTTCAAAAACTGTTCTGGGCAGTGGAAAAATGTCTTGATAGTACATTGCATCTAATGGAGAGAATTTTGAAGGTGACTGAAGTTTAAACATGCAAGAATAAATATATAATCTTTTGTAAGTTAATTTTGTTTTTGGGGGTCCCCCTTCATACTATTACTTCTGGAGTTTTGTTTTTTTAGTTCATTTCATTCTTTTTTTAGAGTCACCAAATCGATTATTCTAGTAATTACATTTATAATTACCATAGTGCCAATGAAGCAGTTTAGTGCTGACAGATTGGGTGGCCTTTACAGGCTTGATAAGGTGTCCCCTTGTCCACCTATGTTGCCTGATGATGGGTTGTGGACAATATTCACATATTTCTAAATCAAACCATACTTCTTTGACAGTAGCTTTTCAAATTATTTGATGTGCCTGAATATAGCCTTAAAAAAATCTGGGGTAACCCATGGTTTAACTGAAATAAGAACTCAATGGGTAAGGTTAGAGAAGAGTGGGTACATTTATGGCTCATAAATATTAATATGCTGGTGTTCCTACATCCTCTCAGAGGCAGAAGAGCCTTGGATTTGAGACATAGATTTATTAAATTGTAAACTTTAAGTGGGAAGAAACTAAGTCTGTTCAGTTTACCGTTTTATTCCCAGAGCCAATCATAGTATATGGCAGACAATAGGCACTCTTAATTTATTGAATGAATGAGTTTTTATGGTTTCATTCATAAAATTTCATTTATAAAAATGAATTTTTAATGGGAGAGATCGCAAGAGACAAGTGTTCTTATATATTACCAGGGAACATATAATCACATTAATCAACTGCAAAGATCTTTTTTCAAATAAGAGCTTTCCCAGGTTGCAAGGATTCGATACGGATGTTTGTCAGCCTGTCACCCTACCTTTGAGCCGTTCTTCACAAACCAGCCTCAGTCTGAAGTGATGACCTGATCATGTCACTCTTTGTTACTCTTGGCATAAACTCCAGACTTGAACAGGGAAGGCTCTTGATGGTCTGGCCCCTGCTTACCTCTGTAGCCGCGTCGCTTGCCACACCACGGCCACACTCCACTTTGAACAGTTCAAAAAAAGAAAATAAAAAAAAAAAAAAAAAAAAAATAAAACAACCAAAAAGGAAACAAAAAAAAAGACACAAAAAGCAAAAGGTGAAAACGGGGCCAAAGAAAAGAAAAAAAGGAAAAAAAAAAAGGAACAAAAAAAAAAACAGGAAAAAAATAAATGAACTCTGTTTTTTTGTAGTTTTTGTTAGTTTCCATTTCCTTCCTTTGTTGCTTCTTGACCTTTGTCTGTACCTTCTCTGTCTTTGGCAGGAACATGCATATTTCCTTTGCTTGTCTAACAGCTATTTCAGATTTTAGCTCTTCCGCGGAGTCTTCCTGGATCACAAAGTCAAGGTCAGATATACGGTCTTTATGTTTCCACTCTCCCTGTTGCAGTATCTCTTATTCCTTGCCTAGCGATTGCCCAGTTTCCAGTCCTAATGGTTGACTGTAAGTACTGTGAGGGCAGGGGCTCCATCTGTTGAATCATATCCCCGTAATCTAGCTCAGTCCCTGGCAGAGAGTAAATATTTGTTGAAAAAAAGTTGGAATTGGTGTTCTGGCTGCTAAAATTTGAGGTTTAGAGTTGGTTTATGTTTTTGAATAGATTTGGTGTTGAAAAGAATGAAGTCTTTTTCTTGTGCAGGCCTACGAGATAAAGGCACACAGGGCTGCTGCCGTCTCGCCTGCGTTCCTACCCACAGCCCTCTCTGCACTGGATGAAGCCCTGCACGGCGGTGTGGCTTGCGGGTCCCTCACAGAGGTAATGGGGACACTCTCCAAACCTTTCTTCCATCACGTTACTTTCAGGATGAGGGGGGAAAGTTTAGTTATAAAAACATTGTTTCATGGATATTCATCTGAACTAAATTACAAGTACCGCAGGGCGTGCTTCTCTACTCTGTGTCTAATATAGTTGCTCTGCAAAAAAAATGTTAAAAACAGTCCTTGTTGACTGACTGGTCTGCTTTGGTTGCTGTTCAAATTAATGTAGAAAATGATGAGTCTTATGAAATAATATTAAACAATTTGGGAGAATTAAAAAAGGATCATTACTTAGTGTTTCAGGGAGGAAATTTTGAGATTTTATTGATATTTGGGAAAATGACAGTATTAAACTGAAATGAGCTATTTTTTACTTCCGTTATGGATAGAGTTTGGTTCCAGGAAACGATAGATATTTGTTATAAATTGTTGCATAACAAATTCTCTCAACACTAAATGGCTTATAACAAAAAAACCCCACTGATTTTATTTCTTTAGGAATGGCTTAGCTTGGTGATACTGGCGAGGAATGCAGTATCTGGAGGCGTGGTGGGGCTGGCGGTTATTTCCAAGGGGGTCGCTCCTGTGACGGGCAGGTTGTGCTGGCTGCGGGCGGGAGGTCGCAGTTCCTTCCCCAGCGGGCTCCCCACAGGCCGCCCGAGTCCTCTCATGTCACGATGGCTGACTTGCACTCGGATGCGTGACCCGAAAGAGGGGAAGATGGAAGTGGCGATACCTTTGATGACTTAACTGTGGGAGTTACATATCACTACTTCTGCCAAGTTGTCTTCGCCAGTAGTGAGTCACCAAGTCCAGCCCATGTTCAAGGAAAGGGCAGTTAGGCTCTGCCCTTGGGAAGAAGAGTCAAGAAAAAATTTGAGGACATTGAAAAACCACCACTGTTCTTTTCCTTGAAAACGGCATTGGTGGGCTTACTGGTCCTGATGTGGTGGATCGATAGACTATCTTTACCAACACACTCCTGAGGGGCTTCCGCCTGAGAGTGCCAGCGGTGTAGATGTTTTAAGCCAACCTCCCGACAACAGCAGACTCTTGCACTGATAGTGAAAAATTTAACTAAGCCCTTGTTTTAGATACTAAACCTTCTGTTATTTCCTTCCTTCTGAGAAAGGTTTAAAAATGTGTGTGTACTATGCCCAGTATTTGCCAGCTGTGCCCAGTATTAGATAGTTGGTAAACAAATGAATAAAGTACTGTATTTTTCAGACTATAAGAACCCCGCCCCCGAATTTGGAAGGAATAATGGTTGTTAATGCTGCTGTTGAGTTCTATTTACATTTACATTGGTGAAATATTATGTTACTTATGTTATTAAATATTTTACCACAGTTTTTACTTCAAAAATTTTTTCCCTATTTTCCTCCTCTAAAACCTAGGCGCATCTTATGGTCCCAAAAATATGGTAATCTAAAAAAACAAACAAAAAACCTGCTACTGCAGAGTACTGCCACCAGATGGTGCCAGAATGCTAGTTCATGTACTCTTTTTGTCTTTTAGTTGGACCTTTGCTCAAATAAGTTTTTAGTAGTGACCCACAGTTACAAACTTATTTAATAAACAAACAAAAAAATTGAATGTAAGGCAGAGTAGTCAATAACTACTACTTATTTTTTAAGTTTTAGAATAATTTTCAATACCTTTTCACTTAGTTTTTAGCAATTCTTTCTGAATCCAAGCAGTAGTTACAAGCCATTTAAGTGTTTTGTCATGATCTGCTTGGCCGAATTGGAATATAAATCTCTGTTTATTAGGGCAGATTCTCTACTTTCTGTTTCAGCTACAGGTAGCCTCTTCAGTCTTCTTAGGATTTTTCAGCTGATTACAGGGAATATTCTATTTACTTTTTATTAAAAAACAAAATCGTAGTGTTTATTTTATGTGTACAGAATTAGGTATATCCTGTGTTTGTACGTTGTAGACTCCTGTGAGCCCATGACCCAATGTAAGGGCCAGAACAGGACCCGAATCACTGACACTAGCTGTGGACTCCTCCAGGGTCCTATCTTTGGCCTTCTATTGGGAGGTAATGTCCACCCTGAATTTCTACCATTTCTCTCCTTTTCCCCCTGTCGTTTCTTATGCTTATAGTTTTCCTTTTCCACTATATACATAAGAGACAAGGCATTTTATTTAGCTTTGCTTATTTTTAGCTCTGTTAAATCAGGTATCTGTGGTTAAACCATATCATAGTTTGTCTATCTGCTTCTTCCACTCAGTATTGTTTTCTAAGATTTATCCATGTTGTTGCAGTTAACAAGAGTAAAATTCATTGCTGTATTATATTCCATTTTGAAAATGGGCTACAATTCGTTTATCCCTTCTCTTGTGAATGATATGTGGGTTGCTTCCAGTTTGCTGCTGGTGTAAACAAGTTCTGTGGAAGTGTTGTATGTGTCTCCCGGATCATACGGACGGGTATTTCTTTAAGGCAGGGATTGGCAACGTACTTACTGCCCAGTGGTCAAATCTGGCTCACTGCCTGTTTTCACAAATAAAGTTTTACTGTAACACAGCTATGCTCATTTATTTACATTTTGTCTGTGGCTACAAGGCAGAGTCCAGTCAGCTGTGACACAGACCTCATGGTCTACAAAGCCTAAAATACTACTTTCTGGCCTGCCTAGGGCATCCACTTTGGAGTGATTTGCTGGTTATAGGTTACGTGCATGTGTAACTTTGCAGAATCAGGGCAAATTGTTTTCCAGAGTGGTTGTTCCCGTTTACATTCCTATGAGCAATGTGCACGAAATCCTCTTGCTCCATATTTTCTTGCCTTGGTATTATCAGACTTCTTAATTTCTGCCCATTTTTGTGATGTTAGTTTTCATTTTCCTGATTACTAATGAGCTTAAATATCTTTTCATAAATCGTTTGGCTATCTAGAAAATGATTTTATTAAGGTTCAATTTAAACACTATGAAATTCAACCATTGTAATTATATAATTTAGTAAATTTATGTTAAATCATCACCCAACCCGGTTTTAGAACATTTCCATCATCCTAACATGTTCCCTGGTGCCCACTTGTAGTTAGTCTCTGCGCCCACCCTTATCCCTGGGCACCCACACTGATCAGCTTTCTGTCTTAATAAATCTGCCTTTTCTAAACATTTCATACAAATCGAATCATGTAATCGCAGCTGTTGTGTTTGGTTTCTTCGCACAGCACGCTGCACTTGAGGCTCATCGCCGCCGCTGCACGCGCAGGCAGCGTTCTCCTTGTGAGTGCTGAGTAGTGTTCTGTGTGCGGCTGTGGCGCCTTTTGTGTGCCCACGCCTCAGTCGGCGGACACCCGGGCTGTTCCCGTTTTTGTCTGTCGGGGGTGGTGCTGCTGTGAACATCCACAGACACATCTGTGTGAAGATAGGCTTTGTTTCTCTTGAGTAGATCCCTAGGAATAGAATGGCAAGATCACAAGATGATTATGTGTTTAATATTTAAGGAGGTGCCAGACTGCTCCCTAAACTGGCTGTAACTCTACATTCTCACCAGCAGTGCACGGTGGTTTGTTTCTCCACACCTTCCCCAGGACTTAGCATCATCTTTATTTTTTAGTCCTCACCTGAGGATGTATTTATTGATTTTCTTTTTTTAGAGAGAGGGAGAGAAACATCGATGAGGTGCCTCTAGAACACTCCCCAACTGGGAGTCAAACCCACATCCTTTTGGTGTATGGGACGATGCTCCAACCAGCTGAGCTGCCCAGCCAGGGTTTTGGTGTAACCGTTTTGATTTCAGCTATTCCAGGGGCTGCGTAGCTGTATTTCACTGAGGTTTTAATTTGCATTTTCCTAATGACTAACGGTATTGAACATCTGTTCATGTACTTATTGGCCATTTGTATATTTTGTGTACTGAAGTATCTATTCAAATCTTTTGCCTATTTTTAATTGGTTGTTTTGTTGTTTTTGAGTTGTAAAAGCTTTATATATATATTCTGGATATATAAAGTTCTTTCTCAGCTATATGACTTATAATTATTTTCTTTCAATCTGGGGCTTGTCTCTTCATTTTTTTAATGGTAGCTTTTGAACTTTAAAATTTTGGTGGCGTTCAATCTATCAGGTCAGGCAGTTAAAATAGTGCCTTATATTGTCGAGTTAGGTTTACTTATAGTTCTATTATTTTTTAAAAATTTTACTTATTTTTAGAGAGAGCGGAAGGGAGGGAGAAAGAGAAGAAGGAAAACGTAGGGAGGAAGAGAGTCAGCTGCCTCTCACAAGCCAGGCATGTGCCCTGACTGGGAATTGAACCAGCAACGCTTTGGTTCACAGGCTGGCACTCACTCCACTGAGCCACACCAGCTGGGCTCTTTTGTAGCACTTCTATAGGCTTTTTTTTACTATTAATACTTCAGTTCCTGCTGCCTCTCTAACACTTTACCTTTTCATCTTGGAATAATCTAAACTTCAGGAACTTTTAATATTATTGCTTTTCCAGAGTACTTATTTACAGTGTTACTTTCATTTGTATGCCATTTGTTTCTTCAAATTATCAAAATATTCAATATTACATTTAAGGAATATGATTTTTCACAAAAAAATATAACTAGGAAGAAGGAGAGGGAGAAATATTAGTGCTTCTCCCTCTCCTGCGGCTCCCTCCTTTTGCAGGCCCGTGCTCAATCCACTGAGCTACACCAGCCAGGGCTTACTTAATTGATTTTTTAATCAATGAATACCAGTGATTCTTTTACTTTAGAAGTTTTTCTTATATGTTTTTAAAGTTGTATATCTCTGATGTCTATATATCTACATATTTATATATTATTTTTTTAATATGTTGCCATTTAACAAATCATTTCAAAGCTTAGTGCCTAAAAACAACAGTGAATATTTATCTCACAGTTCTATGAGTCAGGAACTCAGGAGCGGCTTAGCTGGGTGTTTCTGGTTATGACACCGGCTGAAGCGCAGTTACCTGGTGACTTGACCGGAGCCAGAGGTGGTGCTTTGAGATGGCTGACTGACGTGGCTG